CACAGCGAGTCCGCCAATGGGAGTTAGGAATATATGATAGCTGACTTGTGACATCACAGTAAGCTAGCTAATAGGAGTTAAGACTGGGATGCCTGCACTGTGACATCACAGCACGTCAGCCAATGGGAGTTAAGAATGTGTGAAAGCTGCCTTGTGACATCACAGCGAGTCCGGCAATGGGAGTTAAGAATGTGTGATAACTGTCTTGTGACATCACAGCGAGTCCGCCAATGGGAGTTAAGAATATATGATAGCTGACTTGTGACATCACAGCACGTCAGCCAATGGGAGTTAAGAATGTGTGATAGCGGCCTTGTGACATCACAGTGAGTCCACCAATGGGAGTTAAGAATATATGAGAGCTGACTTGTGACATCACAGCACGTCAGCCAATGGGAGTTAAGAATGTGTGATAGCTGTCTTGTGACATCACAGCGAGTCAGCCAATGGGAGTTAAGAATATATGAGAGCTGACTTATGACATCACAGCGAGTCAGCCAATGGGAGTTAAGACTGTGATGCCTGCACAGTGACATCACAGCATGTCAGCCCATGGGAGTTAAGAATGTGATGCCTTTTCTGTGACATCAACGCAGTTCAGCCAATGGAAGTTAAGCAAGCATTTTCTCTGCTAAGAAGCATGTGCAAAGTTAAAAAAAAAAAAAGACGTAAACATCCCAAGAATTTTTCTTTTCTTTTCTTACCAGCACTAAAGTCTGGTGCAGCTGGCCCAGGGCGTCTTGGGTGCCCTCCTTGGCGTCTTTCAACTTAGCCAGGAAACGCGGGAAGATGCGGTGGCGAAGTTTGCTGGACAAGGACCCCAGCCGCACAAAGTAACTTTTCCGTTGCTTCTGCTGCTCCACCGGGCCCGTTTCGAAGCCCTCCATGGAGGTAGCCAGTTCGGCTGGAAGAAAAAAGGAACCCCACACCATCTCATAGCCCGGAGGTTCAAAGTTGAAGTACAGGCAGTCCTCGACTTACGACCGGTCGCTAAGCGATTGTTCGAAGTTACGACAGACCTTTAAAAGGCACTTAAGAGCCCTGGTGGCGCAGTGGTTAGAATGCAGTATTGCGGGCTAATTCTGCCCACTGCCAGCAGTTCGATCCTGACCGGCTCAAGGTTGACTCAGCCTCCCGTCCTTCCGAGGTCGGTAAAATGAGGACCCAGAATGTTTGGGGGAGGGGGGGCAATAGGCTGTAAACTGCTTAGAGAGGGCTGTAAAGCACTATGAAGCGGTATATAAGTCTAAGTGCTATTGCTAACTATCGTCTATCTATCTATCTATCTATCTATCTATCTATCTATCTATCATATATCGCTATGTGTATGTGTCTGTCTCTTTCTTTCTTTCTTTCTTTCTTTCTTTCTTTCTTTCCTTCCTTCCTTCCTTCCTTCCTTCCTTCCTTCCTTCCTTCCTGTCTATCTACAATATCTATCTGTCTATCTATCATCTTACAATATCTGTCACTGTCTATCTGTCTGCCTATATTCCCTCCCTCCCTCTCCCTCCCTGGTGGCACAGTGGTTAGAATGCAGTAGTGCAGGCAGACTCTGCCCACTGCCAGGAGTTCGATCCTGACCGGCTCAAGGTTGACACAGCCTTCCGTCATTCTGAGGTCAGTAAAATGAGGACCCAGATTGTTTGGAAGGGGGGGGGAATAGGCTGTAAACTGCTTAGAGAGGGCTGTAAAGCACTATGAAGCGGTATATAAGTCTAAGTGCTATTGCTAACTATCGTCTATCTATCTATCATATATCTTTATATGTCTATGTGTCTGTCTTTTTCTTTCTTTTTTCTTCTTTCTTTCTCTTTTTTCTTTCTCCTTCCTTCCTTCCTTCCTTCCTTCCTTCCTTCCTTCCTTCCTTCCTTCCTTCCTTCCTTCCTTCCTTCCTCTCTACAATATTTGTCTATCATCTTACAATATCTGTCACTGTCTATCAGTCTGCCTATATTTTCTCTCTCTCTCTCCCTCCCTCCCTCTCTCCCTTTCTCTTTCTCTCTGTCTCTGTCTCTCTCTCCTTTTGGGACCTTCTGACAAGCAAAGTCAATGGACAAGCCAGATTCACCATGTTACTCACTTAACAACCGGGGCGGTTCACTTCGCAACAGTGGCAAGAATGGTCGCAAAACAAGACAAGATAACTTTTATTGCCGTTTTTTTTTAACGACGAGCACACTTCGGCTCGTATTAAAAACGACGTTCTCTTGCCGGCCTCTCAAAATGCTTAGCCACAGAAATTTTGGAACCCAAGTGTGGTCGTAAGCTGAGGACAACCTGTCGTATCTACTGGGGGGGGGAAGGAATTTTGGGGACCACGTCTGGATCAGGGAAAATGAACACTCACCGAGTTCTCGTTCCGTCATGGGGAGATAGTAATCGACTAATTCTTCAGACTTGCCCAGCATCGTATCCATACTGGTGACCACCATCTCACCCACTCTGGAGCCCATAACGCTGTTCACACCCCCTGCCACGACGGAGCAGGTCATCTCCACGCTGCCCTGGACGGCCCCCTTGGCCATGCCCACCATCCCGTTCACGCCACTGGACACGGCCTCCTTCGCCCCGTAGACGGTGCTGGAAACGACAATTCGGGCTCCGGTGACTTTGTTCGACAATAATTCCTTGGTGTCTGCTACCACCTGGGAAGGGAGATAAACCGAGAAGCGTTGGAGCATCCTCGTCTCCAAGAATGTGCTCGATTTTAGAGTGTAGGCGGTCCTCGACTTACGACAATTCGTTTAGCGACTGGAAAAAAGGGACTTAGGACCGTTTTTAAAACTTACGACCGTGGTCATAGGATTAAAATTTGGACGTTTGGCAACCGACTCGTATTTATGACGGTTGCGGTGTCCCCGGGATCATGCAATTCCCCCTTTTGCATGTTTCGTTCTATGCAGCATTAACCTTGTGAACTCTCAAGATCCCTCCTTCCGTTATATATTCAAGATGGACAGTGTTTAATATTTATTTGTTATGTATATGTAGGGGGGTGTGGGCATATACCAGAGGTAGGCAACCTTGGTTCTTTTATGACTCGTGGACGTCAACTCCCAGAATTCCTGAGCTGGCATGGCTCAGCATGGAAACCTCTCCATTTCTCCTCAGCGTGGCTGGCTCAGGAATTCTGGGAGTTGAAGTCCACGAGTCATCAAAGAGCCAAGGTTCCCCACCCCTGCTATAGACCAACTCTACATCCGGTGGAACTACTGGTTTGTACCTTTAGAGCAGGGGTCTTCAAACTTGGCCCTTTTATGACTCGTGGACTTCAACTCCCAGAATTCCAGAGCCAGCCATGCTGAGGGGAAAGGGAGAGGTTTCCAAGCTAAGCCTTGCTGGCGCAGGAATTCTGGGAGTTGAAGTCCATGAGTCATAAAGCGGCTTAGGCCTAGGCCAGAGGTAGGCCACCTTGGCTCTTTTATGACTCGTGGACTTCAACTCCCAGAATTCCTGAGCCAGCATGGCTCAGCTTGGAAACCTCTCCCTTTCCCCTCAGCATGGCTGGCTCAGGAATTCTGGGAGTTGAAGTCCACGAGTCATAAAAGAGCCAAGGTTGCCTACCTCTGGCCTAGCCTACACTTTTGGGTTTCTGCTGAAGTTGCTCAGCTCACAATTAATGAGACCTTCCCCTTGATCTGCACAATCATACAAGGCGGATCCCAAGGCCACGGCTACGGATGGTGAAACAAGCCGTTAAAATATCGCAACCTTTCAATTTCAATCTAGCTTCCAGGAAAGGTTGAGTCTCATTATAATCACAACGACTTTCCTAGAATATTCATTTGAACAGCTTGCAATTCTGTTCACAGCAACTGCTTAACCCCATGCTTTGCAAAACAAAAAAAACAAAACAAAACAAAACAAAAAAAACCATGGACAGTTTCTAGAAATTGGGATCCAGGTTTTTTTCTTTCTTTCTGGATTGATGGTCACCTGTGGAAAATAGCCCAAGAGCTGAATAAACTCGCTCTAAATAAATAAAAGGATGTATCCAAATCATGCATGTAAATAATAATAATAATAATAATAATAATAATAATAATAATGATGATGATGATGATGATGATGATGATGATGATGATGATGATGATGATGATGATGATGATGATGATGTTGGAAGGGACCTTGGAGGTCATCTAGTCCAACCCCCTGCTCAGGCAGGAAGCCGTTTCGGACAAATGGCTCTCCAGTCTCTTCTTAAAAACTTCCAGTGTTGGAGCATTCACCACTTCTGGAGGCAGGTAGTTCCACTGGTTAATTGTTCTGTCAGGAAGTTTCTCCTTATTTCTAGGTTGCTTCTCTCCTTGGTTAGTTTTCATCTGTGATAAATATCGAACAAATAAATGATCAAGAAGGGGGGGGTCAAGCTATCCTCCAAAGCACCAGAAGGCGAGACAAGAAGCAACGGATGGAAACTAATCAAGGAGAGAAGCAACCTGGAACTAAGGAGGAATTTCCTAACAGGGAGGACAATTAACCGGTGGAACAGCTTGCCACCAGACGTTGTGAATGCTCCAACACTGGAAGTTTTTAAGAAGAGATTGGATATCCATTTTAAAGAAAGGCAGATGAGGAGGAGAAGGAGAAGAACGTCCCAGGCAATCCTCGACTTACGACAGTTCATTTAATGACCATTCAAAGTTACAACGGCACTGGAAAAAGTAACTTACGACCGGTTTTCACACTTACAACCGTTGCAGCCTCCCCAGGGTCATGTGATCAAAATTCAGACGCTCGGCAGCTGACTCGTATTTATGACAGTCGCTGTGTCCCCGGGATCACAGTATCCCCTTTTGCGACCTTCTGACCAGCAAAGCCAGATTCACTTAACGACCGGGTCACTAACTTAACTCTTGCAGCGATTCATTTAACAATTGTGGCAAGCAAAGTGATAACCTGGGGCAAAATTCGCTGAACGTCTGTCTTGCTTAGTAACTGAAATTTGGGGGGGGGGTCAACTGTGGTCGTAACTCAAGAACTACCTCTCCTTGCCCAGAAGTGGTTTTGCCTCGACATTTCCCCCCCAAATGATGTAAATACAGAAATCCTTGAATCCAAGACCGACTGATGCTAAACCCTGAAACTTTTGTGAACTAGAAAGTGGGTTCACACAACCTGCTAGCTCGGTCCAAAGTAGAGCTGTTTCGGGGATCCATTCCCTGTAAAGACCCTGTCTGCCATCTTGATTTCCCCCGAACGGATGGGAGACCACACGGAGATCAATCACGCTGACGTGGTGGTAAGACTGACTCTGCAACGTGATTCGAGCAAAACTAGATTGCTAATGAAAGCAGAACGCCCGTGGCAAAGGGCCACTTACCTTCTCAGTCGGCTGCTGTAGGATAGGCAGTTTTTCTTCCAGTTTATCCAGTCCTTTGCATGCGTACACACACACTGTTGCAACTGGGGAGAGAGAGAGAGACAGAAAGACGGCTCAGATGGGTTCACACAATCCCCTTCGCTAATCTAAGAAGTGTTTCTAAATATTGATAATTTTCAGATGTGTGGACTTGGACTTCAACTCCCAGAATACCATAGCCAGCATCTGTGGACTTCGACTCCCAGAATTCCCCAGCCAGCATTTGTGGACTTCGACTCCCAGAATTCCCCAGCCAGCATTTGTGGACTTCGACTCCCAGAATTCCCCAGTCAACATCTATGACTTCAACTCCGAGAATTCCCAAGCCAGCATTTGTGGACTTTGACTCCCAGAATTCCTCAGCCAGCATCTGTGGACTTCGATTCCCAGAATTCCCCAGCCAGCATCTGTGGACTTCAACTCCCAGAATTCCATAGCCAGCATCTGTGGACTTCAACTCCCAGAATTCCATAGCCAGCATCTGTGGACTTCAACTCCCAGAATTCCCCAGCCAGCATTTGTGGACTTCGACTCCCAGAATTCCTCAGCCAATATCTGTGCACTTCAACTCCCAGAATTCCCCAGCCAATGTCTGTGGACTTCAGCTCCCAGAATTCCATAGCCAGCATCTGTGGACTTCAACCCCCAGAATTCCATAGCCAGCATCTGTGGACTTCAACTCCCAGAATTCCATAGCCAGCATCTGCTGACTGGGAATTCTGGGAGTTGAAGCCCTCATGTCTTAAAACGTTTTCAAGGTTGAGAAAGACCAGACTAGTCCCACATGCTCCCACAAAGGACGGTCTATCACCCCCCTGAGGCAGACTGAAACTTAGAATCTCAGGGCAGAAGATTCGGAAGGACCCTTAAAGATCATCTAGTCCAGCCTCCGTGTTGATGTAGGAATCTACAATTTCAGCCTCCATCACAGAGCTGTCCATTTCAGTGCCAAACTTTAGAGCCCGTCTACTCCTGCAAACCAAATATAAACATATAAGGAACGGTTGCTGGTATTGGGCATGTCTAGTTTAATGAAGAGAAGGACGAGGGGGGACAGGATAGCCGTGTTCCAGTATCTCAGGGGCTGCCCCAAAGAGGAGGGAGTCAAGCTATTCTCCAAAGCGCCCGAAGGCAGGAGAAGAAGCAACGGATGGAAACTAACCAAGGAGAGAAGCAACCTGGAACTAAGGAGGAATTTCCTGACAACTTGCCTCCAGAAGTTGTGAATGCTGCAACACTGGACGTTTTTAAGAAAAGACTAGACAACCACTTGTCTGAAATGGTGTAGGGTTTCCTGCCTGAGCAGGGGGTTGGACTAGAAGACCTCCAAGGTCCCTTCCAACTCTGTTATTCTGTTAAAGCACTATGGAGTGGTACGTACGTTTAAGTGATATTGCTACTAAGAGTGCAGAGAAGAGCAACAAAGATGATCAGGGGGCTGGAGGTTAAAACATATAAGGAACAGCTGCTGGAATTGGGTATCTCTAGTTTAACGAAGAGAAGGACGAGGGGGGACATGATAGCAGCCTTCCAGTATCTCAAGGGCTGCCCCAAAGAAGAGGGAGTCAAGCTATTCTCCAAAGCACCTGAAGGCAGGACAAGAAGCAACGGGTGGAAACTAACCAAGGAGAGAAGCAACCTGGAACTAAGGAGAAACTTCCTGACAGCGAGAACAATTAATCAGTGGAACGACTTGCCACCAGAAGTTGTGGGTGCTCCAACACAGGAAGTTTTTAAGAAGAGAATGAACAACCATGTCTGAAACGGTATAAGGCAGGGCTAGGCAACCTTGGCTCTTTTATGACTCGTGGACTTCAACTCCCAGAATTCCTGAGCCAGCATGGGGGAACTATGGCCCCCCTCATGACTTGAGGACTTCAACTCCCAGAATTCCTGCGCCAGCAAGGCTCAGCATGGAAACCTCTCCCTTTCCCCTCAGCATGGCTGGCTCAGGAATTCTGGGAGTTGAAGTCCACGAGTCATAAAAGAGCCAAGGTTGCCTACCCCTGGCATAGGGTTTCCTGCCTGAGCAGGGGGCTGGACTAGAAGACCTCCAAGGTCCCTTCCAACTCTGTCGTTCTATTCTATTCTAAATGTTGAACTGCCACTTCCCCCAAACACCGCTCTGGCCTTCTTACTCACGCTGAGGCTCCAGCCTGGTGACCAATGGTTGGGCACCGCACAGGGCAGCTGCGGTGAGGGTCTTCACCCCTTTCTCGGCCACATCGCAGACGGATTTCAGGTAGGGGCTCGTCTCCTTGGTGCAGGCGTAGGCAGAGGAGACCAGGTGGCAGGTGGAGCTGACCAAGGGAAGGTGGGTGACCCGACGGATCAGGTTCTGCAGGGAAGAATTCGAGTTGAAGGGGTAGATCGTGGCTTGATGGCCGCCAGTTGCCGATCAGGCCTCAAAACTTCCCAACTGGGAACCTCAAGTCATCAAACGGCTGGTTGGGGTTTTCTAGGATGTGACGTGAGCGCAACTGCTGTTGTTCCCACAACCTTGCTGTCACCCAACCCGGGATGGCTTATTCAGCAAATCAGGGTTTAAAACCAATCAGGGTTAGGAATGAAGTGGAAATCCAGACCAAGGGGAACTTACCTGCTGCTCCATCTCGTGACCCTCAAGAACCAGGTGGTTCCCCTCTTTTTCTTCAGATGTCATGGGGGGCCCTTAAAAGCAGAAGAGGAGGTAGTTGGAACATGGTGCCCATTTTTTGGGGGGGGGGATTAAAATTATGGGATGGTCAGGTAAAGGATAGCGGGAGGGAGGCTATTGTGTTTTATACAATAACAACAACAACAACAACAACAACAATGAGAGAAGGAGGAGGAGGAGGAGGAGGAGGAGGAGGAGGAGGAGGAGAAAGAAGAAGAAGAAGAAGAAGAAGAAGAAGAAGAAGAAGAAGAAGAAGAAGAAGAAGAAGAAGAAGAAGAAGAAGAAGAAGAAGAAGAAGACGACCCCAAGGGGGAGGGCCTTCTCTGTGGGAGCTCCCACCCTCTGGAATGAGCTTCCCCCAGAGATCAGGGTGATCCCTGATCTCCCTTCCTTCCGCCGCGCCCTCAAGACATGGCTATTCCAACAAGCGGGACTGGCCTAGGGTAATTTTTAAGAGGGGTTTTAGAGGGGTTTTTAATCATATTTTAATCAGACAAT